GCAGCTCACCCACATCTCCCAGGGAGCAGGGGAGCACTTCTGCAGCTCACACAGGCAGCTCCTCCATGCCTAGGGCCACAACGGCTCCCCACAGTGTCCCTTTGTGGTTATGGACAAAACAGTGTGAATGTGACTGGTTGCTTGGTATACGGAGACTATGCATTTTGGAATTGTATTATTTAAATAAAACTGTAGAAGTCACTAAGGTCACCCAAGGCCAAGCATCCTCCCTCAGAGTTCTGGTCAGATGTTCTCCCAGCCTCTACAAGAATCACTCTTGTCACCCAGCACCTGTGAAACATTGAAACGCTCTTATTGCTGGAAATGGGATTTGCCTCCCAGCAGGTTCTCCGTCAGTTGTTCCTTGAGCCAGTGGTTCTACCGCATAATCACTCTTCACTCACATTGGGGGAGAGCAGTCATATCTCCCCACAGCCATCTCAGGAATGGGCAGAACTGACCCCGGGAACACACACTTTCTTTTTATGACATAATTTCCATGCCCTCAGAATTCATCCTTCCATGAGTGCCCTCCAGCCTGTCAGCACTCATTTCCAACTGGGCTCCAGACACTGAATAAATGTTCCGCATGTCTGGACTATCACACCGAACAGTGGGTCTGTGTGTCCTTGGGCTTAGGTCCTTAGTAAATATTTTCAGTGAAGATTCGGTGAATTTTGCCTCTTCCCTGCCCTACACTCAGACAAGTGGCTTAATCCTAAATGGAGAACTTTGCCTCGGTCCCTGATAGGTTTCCTCCCTGGATTCAGTGTTCCAGCCCATAGAGATTGTTGGAAACCTTTATCGCTGCCTTTCGTATTATGCATCTCGCTGTGTTTTGCAAAATTGGGAGGCATACTCCTATGTCTTTTGTTTAGACATTGGTGCAAACCCTGCCTTGGAGAGAAACAAAGTTTATCTGCTGCACCAGAGGGCCAGACTGTTTCATCCTATTGCCCTGCTGGGAGCACCAACATGTTTAGGAGTTAGAGCATTGCCACTCGGTTGATAGATACCACATGTACAAAAGTTAAGTGTGCATTTTTTTGAGAGGAGAAAAATTCATTAATACCTTCTTGCCTTGAATATGAAGGGTACCTAGTAGTCATAATTTACATGCCCAGACGTGGGCGTGAACTGCATAGGGTGTGAACTGCATGGCGTTCTCCTGGCGAGGAGAACGAGTGGATGTGCCTGTTATCCGGAGGGTTGGGAAGCTGACAACATGCGGACAAAGCCTGGTCTATACTGAAATGTAAGCCCTTAAGTGAATGGGGCCACTGGGTACATCAGAGGGACAGGGTAGAGGAGGAACTGACGTATTCAGTTTTGAAATGCATGTCACTCTCAGTGGTGATGGAATATACTGTACTTCCCTTACCACATGCGGAAGAAAATACAATGCCCAACTTCAAAGACTACAGAACACACCCAGAGTCTATTCTGGAAATAAGACCCGCATATGCACTCGCACCCACAAGTTTCAGTGCAGAGTTCCCATGCATAGTTTTTAACGTTTCCATGAAATCCATCTTTCCTTACATGGGTAAATCACATCATTAAAACTCTGAACTAGGGTCCAGCTAATTAATTTTTGGGTTATGTCCAGATCCTTTGTTCTGTGTCCCAAACACAGCCATACCATTCAGCCCAGCTTCCAGTTCCCAGCTTCCAGTTCCCAGCTCCCAGCTCCCAGCTCCCAGCTCCCAGCTCCCAGCTCCCAGCGGCAAACTTTACCGTCCCAGGAAAGGCCCGAGGCCGCATGCAGGGGGTCTTTTCGTCAGGTACACCACACAGAAGGGGCAGCCACTGCCTCCCTTCCCACAGTCTGCACACCAAGGCTGAGGCAGGAATGACCACAAGACTCTTTCCTTCTGAACAAACACATGACTGTTCCTGCAGTTCAGTCTGAGGTCACACCGGAATAAAGACCCTGACGGGGAAGTGGTGGTGAGAACACTTGACCCAGTGGCATCCAAGAAAGGCACAAATGCTCGAGCACATGACAGCCACGTCCCTCCATCCAAATATGGGCAGTTGACAGTCACAATGACAAAGGGCTATCGATTCCCCTTCAGAGCCTTTCTGAATTGACTAATGACCAGGGAGAGAGTTATAGGGATCAGAGTTTGGGCTCTGAGGGGTCGTCCATCACACCACTCTGACCCTCATTGCACACACATCCTGGAAGGTCCCACAAAAGCTGTCTTTTGGGATTGTTTGCACAACATGGGATACCATGAATAATGACAATTTATGTCCAAGGAGGAGTTGGCTCTGAAGGCCTCATCCACTGTAGCTAAATTGTAGGGCTGGGGCCCAGACAGCAGAGGGAGGCAGGAAGCCTTGTGAGTACTGAGGGCTCCAAGATGGGCAGCAGGGCCAGGGCTTGAGCTGAGGACCCCAACTGCAAACCCTTGGGGTCTCCAGCCTTTTTCTGATACCTCTCTTAGAGCATTACAATGCTGACCTTCGGTTGTGAGGATGAACCATGTTTCCTTTTAGGGTTTGTGGGACCCCGAGGATCCAAAGGCTTGGCGGGCCTCCCTGGCCCAGATGGACTCCCAGGTCCCAGCGGCGCACCAGGACCAGCTGGGCCACCAGGGGACAAGGGCATTCCTGGTGAAGTCCTGGGAGCCCAGCCTGGACCCCGGGGAGATGCTGGACTGCCCGGACAACCTGGACTGAAAGGCCTTCCTGGAGACAGAGGCCCACCTGGATTCAGGGGTAAGTCACCACGGCAGGAGGGGAGCAGGGGGTCTGATCCCACTGCACTGTGGCTCCCAGGGTGGCTCCGAAATCCCTTCTGGGGGATTTGGTAAGAAGAGACCGCACCGTATGGCACAAGTCTTACTTTTTCTTTTCCCCACTTAGTTCCAGCGTCCCTCCGGAATGTTTTTAGGACAAGAATCATCATCCTGTGCTTACCTTGTGTAGCCAGGAGCCACATGCAGACAAAACTGTGTCCGGCTTGCTTGGCTGTACTGGGCAGTTACAAAGGGGACCTACACAGCCGGGTTTCTGAGCAGAACTTCCAAATAACATCTCACACGAATTCATGGATCAGATTTTATTTAGCTGAGGGCAGCTGATTTTCTGTATTGTTCCTTTTTTACCAGATGTTCTATAAATGGAAATTGACTTAAACTATTGAGCTCCACAGACAACTGAAAGAACAAAATGCCTCAACCCAATTTTTAAGGCAACCACTTAAGTAGCAGAGGTCATTTAACCATTTATCCCTGGCCTGGCCTATTCACTTCTATGAGGGAGGCACTCCAGAAACTTGCGCTCAGACCAACCTCCACCCTCTTGGCCACGGTTCCCATGACCTTCCTTGGTCAGCACTCTCGGTTCATGCAGCCATAAAGGCGCTGGGTGGTGAAGTCCCCTTGTCTGTCTTTGTAGAAGAACAAAGTATTGTGGGAGGAGCCCGGCTTCCCAGTAAACTTCACTGCCTGCAGCACAGCCTGCCTGCTCTCCTGACTCCACCCTCAGCCACTAGCAATCCTACTTTCCCCGGAGCTGTGAACTCTAAAGATAGAACCCAAAAATAATTGTCCTCATTTCCCACAGTGAAACTGGAGTGCGTGAGAATTTATGCATCCTGCTTACTGCATACCTTTCTCCCCGATATGGTTTAAGAAATCAGATAACTGGGACATGGGCTTGAGAGTCTGGGTTGGTCCAAGACTAAGTTGATCCCTTTCATTATTGACCCCCTGCCCCAGTTCCCCCTGTGTCTGCATCTTTTTCTCAAGCCAGCCCTGCACACTTGGGGGGCTGGTCAGGGATAGATGAACGAGTGACCCTGAGAGTCATTGGAGAAACAGTATGCAAATGGCAGACGTTGGCCCTTCTACTGGTATTAATTGGATGAATGTAACAAACTTTATGTTCCAAGAAGAAAGGAGAATATGCCCAAATATAAGGAGGCCCGGAGAGTTAGTATTCAAAAAAAAAAATCTAGAAGAAAATATATGCTCATAGTTATCTGACCCCTGGCTAAGGCAGGGTATTCTAGACATAAAATCAAGGAAAGAAAACACACACACAAAATGTGTAAAATGCACACAAATCTTATCATTCTACATGTCAAAAACAAAATGAAAATTTGGGAAGCAGAGTAAACTTTGAAATAGATATGAAGGAAAGTAAGTTAATGTATATGAGGAATCCTGAAATCTATAAGAAAAAAATCCAAAACCCCTAAGGGAAAATATCAAGGAAGAAAAAAAAATTTCACCAGAAAGCAAAAACTAAGAGAGAGAAATGTAACTCATAATCGAAAGCATGAAGAGTGAAACAGCTCGCACCTCACGCTTTCCTCGGTGTTGGCCCGCCCGGCTTCCGTCTGCTTCAGCGCCAGCTCTCCGTGCCGGGAAGGAGTGGGAGGAAAACACACAGGGCAGCCCTGCCGGGCGTGGCTCAGCGGTTGAGCGTCGACCTAGGATCCAGGCGACCTGGGTTCGATTCCTGGTCAGGGGACATGCCCGGGTTGCGGGCTGCAGCCGATCAATGACTCTCCCATCATTGATGTTTCTATCTCTCTCTCTCCCTCTCCTTTCCTCTCTCTGAAATCAATAAAGATATATTTTTTAAAAAAAACACACAGGGCAGGCGCTCTGAGATCAGTGTGAAGTGCAGTAAAAAAACATCGAGTTCGCGTTTGCTTTGACCCACTAAGTCTCTTTCTAGGACACGTTCCTAAAGAAATGACTGACAACGTGGGCACAGATATACAGGGTGTCCCCCCAAAAAGGTATACACACTTAACACTGATAGCTCAATTAATATTTCTTTTCAGATTTAACCCATTGGAATTAATAATGTACAATAAATGTGTATACATTTTTGGGACACCCTGTATATATACCAAAAACCTCTTCCTTATAACACTGTTTGTAAGAACAAAAAAAGATGTGGAGAGGACCAAATGTGTCCACATGATAGGAGATTATTCATGTAGTCATTTAACATGCTTATAAAGAGTATTTTAAATGTAGCAAGATGCTCAAAATATGAAGTCAACTGAAAAAAAGCTAGATTAAAATTTTACTTATAGTGTAATGTCAGTATTGGACAATATCTATTTCTAGGTATATTTATGTGAATAGAAAGATGGCCAGAAGATGTTAGTAATTATCTCAGGGTGATGGCATGAGTTACGTTGATCTTATCTTTTGTGCTTCTTTATATTTTCCAGAGTCCCTACAATCCAGAAAAAAATGAAATCCTATTTTTATAGAACAACTCTGAGGATGTTGATGTCATTTACAATGAACCGTATGGGTTGGCCTCACAGCTCTTGTCTCAATTGTTGCAGGAAGCCAAGGGATGCCAGGAATGCCGGGCCTGAAGGGTCACCCAGGCTTCCCAGGACCTTTAGGACAACCAGGACTGCCTGGACCACCTGGACAGCATGGCTACCCTGGAGCTCCTGGCCAGGAGGGGCCCTTGGGACTGCCAGGCGGCGTAGGCAATGAAGGTAAGGGTCCCACTCTCCCATCAAGGGGTCAGAGCCTCACTCATACTGAAAAACCACCACCCCCCCTGAGGAGTTATCACACTGCTCCAAGAACCCCTCCCCTTCTCACGAATTGCAGGGNACACACAGGGCAGCCCTGCCGGGCGTGGCTCAGCGGTTGAGCGTCGACCTAGGATCCAGNGCACACAGGGCAGCCCTGCCGGGCGTGGCTCAGCGGTTGAGCTTCGACCTAGGATCCAGGCGACCTGGGTTCGATTCCTGGTCAGGGGACATGCCCGGGTTGCGGGCTGCAGCCGATCAATGACTCTCCCATCATTGATGTTTCTATCTCTCTCTCTCCCTCTCCTTTCCTCTCTCTGAAATCAATAAAGATATATTTTTTAAAAAAAACACACAGGGCAGGCGCTCTGAGATCAGTGTGAAGTGCAGTAAAAAAACATCGAGTTCGCGTTTGCTTTGACCCACTAAGTCTCTTTCTAGGACACGTTCCTAAAGAAATGACTGACAACGTGGGCACAGATATACAGGGTGTCCCCCCAAAAAGGTATACACACTTAACACTGATAGCTCAATTAATATTTCTTTTCAGATTTAACCCATTGGAATTAATAATGTACAATAAATGTGTATACATTTTTGGGACACCCTGTATATATACCAAAAACCTCTTCCTTATAACACTGTTTGTAAGAACAAAAAAAGATGTGGAGAGGACCAAATGTGTCCACATGATAGGAGATTATTCATGTAGTCATTTAACATGCTTATAAAGAGTATTTTAAATGTAGCAAGATGCTCAAAATATGAAGTCAACTGAAAAAAAGCTAGATTAAAATTTTACTTATAGTGTAATGTCAGTATTGGACAATATCTATTTCTAGGTATATTTATGTGAATAGAAAGATGGCCAGAAGATGTTAGTAATTATCTCAGGGTGATGGCATGAGTTACGTTGATCTTATCTTTTGTGCTTCTTTATATTTTCCAGAGTCCCTACAATCCAGAAAAAAATGAAATCCTATTTTTATAGAACAACTCTGAGGATGTTGATGTCATTTACAATGAACCGTATGGGTTGGCCTCACAGCTCTTGTCTCAATTGTTGCAGGAAGCCAAGGGATGCCAGGAATGCCGGGCCTGAAGGGTCACCCAGGCTTCCCAGGACCTTTAGGACAACCAGGACTGCCTGGACCACCTGGACAGCATGGCTACCCTGGAGCTCCTGGCCAGGAGGGGCCCTTGGGACTGCCAGGCGGCGTAGGCAATGAAGGTAAGGGTCCCACTCTCCCATCAAGGGGTCAGAGCCTCACTCATACTGAAAAACCACCACCCCCCCTGAGGAGTTATCACACTGCTCCAAGAACCCCTCCCCTTCTCACGAATTGCAGGGTTGCTGAAAGTACCCTACATTGCATCGCTTAGACAACAGAAATTTATTTTCTCACAGTTCTGGAAGCTGGAAGTCCAACATCAAGGTGTCAGCAGAGTTGGTTCCTCCTGGGGCCTCTCTCCTTGGCTTGTAGATGACTGCCTTCTCCCTGTGTCCCCAGAGAGGCTGGGAGGTGGCCACAGTTGTGCTGGAGGAAGTCAAGGGCCCCTTTGTCGATCAGGAACCATTCAGGATGACCGTAGTTCTCTCATTTGCCATAGTCAGGTGACAGCTAAATACAGAGCATTGCATGACTGGTAAAAATCCATGCGAAAGCCCTGCCCTAAAAGAGCCTGCAGTTTAGCTGGGGAATTATATACATAAAAGGCTTGCGTTTCAGCAGAGCCAGCCAACGGGGTGACCAGACCCTGAGGCTCCCAATTTCCCAGGGGGCAGGGAGCCAGGCAGGCTGGAGCAATCCTGGGAAAAAGAGATGAGACAAGCCAGGCATGGAAGATGGGCATGCCTGTAGCGGGGTCCTTCCCGGGAGGAAGAGGGCAGGCAGAGGCGGGAATGCCCAAGGAAATGTGTTTGGTGCTGTGTTCCCCTAAACTGGCTGGGGAGAGAGCTTATTCTGAGGAGGGGACTGGTGGTCTGGACAGGAAGATAGGGCCCCCGCTTAGAAGACATTGAATGTTGAGCTGAGGAGTCAGATCCCCTGGGCACAGGAGCTGGTGGGAGTTTTTAACAGAAGGCTGCATTAAGAAAGCTGGCAGCTGTGTGGCAGGAGACTGAGGGAGAGTGGTGAGTGTGGCACAGTGGCAGCCCTAATGAGAAAATGAGGTGGGAGCAGGGGGAAGGGGAAGCGGAGGCCGGGAGCAGCCACCTGGGCAGGTGCAGTCCTCTCCTAGAACTTAATCCCCAGGCTGAGTCAGGGATGGCCAAGAGGGACAGGCAACCCAGAATAATCTCTGAGATCACATCCCATCTTAGAGTTGGCAGATCCCCTATACCCACCTGATATCCCACCACCATAACTTCATTCCTTTGGATTCCAAAGTCAAGAGGGCTTGAGTGGAGAAAGTCTGATTTGTCTAGAAGTCACTTGAGCTTCCAGCTTTCAAAGAAAGACCTCTTTAGGAAAGCCAGCCCTGCGGATTTTCTACATACAGTGGCCACACCTTTAAAACTCACCTTTACAGTTAGTTTCTCATTTTCCTTCCAAGAAGTTTTTATCAGAAAAGGTTTTGTTATCAATGCCTCAGAAGTATTGTAAGAGACATATTTTCTGTGTGTGGTGTGTCCATCCTGTTATATATTTCTTCCCCCTCTCTTGGACAGGTCTGCCTGGAGAAAGAGGGGACCCAGGGGACACAGGTGTCCCTGGACCTTTGGGCATGAAAGGTGTACCTGGTGACAGAGGTGACCCTGGTTTGTTGGGCGAGAGAGGTCCTCAAGGAAACCCTGGCTTTAAAGGAATAGCCGGAATGCCTGGTATCCCTGGGCCAAAAGGTAACTGTATAACATGACAAGGAATCACCTGATAGGGTGTTAGGCATGTTAAACTTGGATTTGGGACAGTCCCACGTGCCTGCAGGCTGAAGCCTCAGGACTCCTGTCCTCCAGAGGCATCAATCCCTGGGAAAACTGGCTAATGCTGTTAGGCTGGGCATGGCTGATGTGCCCAGAATGCTCATTTCTTAATTTACCAAGAGAGAGTGACTGCCTGAGAGGCCCCCTCAGGAGACAAGATTCAGACCCAGAGGCTAGCTGGTGAACAGAAACTGAAGTAAAGGACTATGCTTGGTCCCCAGCATAGGTTTATTTTCACACAAACAGGCTGACTCATCTAGAAGTGGAGCCCTAAGGCTTTTGACCATTGCTGGAGACACAGTGGTCTTACTCCCCAGTGGTTCTCTGCCAGATCTCCATGCTGGGAGTGGCATCAACACACATTAACTTCTGGTGCCCCTTCACACCTCTTCTCGCTGGGCCCACAAGCCTAGGAGACCTCCCAGTTTTCCTCATGTCCTTCTGGCTGACTGCTGTTCATTTGTGTACGTTTCCTCCCCAGTGGCCAGACAGAAGACGAGCAGGTTCTGTGCCCCTCAGTCTGGACGTAGGTCAGCAGACAAGCCCCTGGGCAATGGTATCCTGCAAATCCCTGGTTTAGGTTAAGAATCTTAGCCTATTCTCACATGAGTTACTCTGTGGGAATGTCGCAGATGAGTGAAACCGAAATATTGTGCATTTATCCATGCCTAACCCAGGACTTTTCCTGTTCACTCTGCAGGTCTTAGAGGTTCACCGGGGATGGATGGTTTCCAAGGCATGATTGGGCCCCAAGGAAGACCTGGGGTTCCAGGACACAAAGGAGAACCTGGATTGTTTGGAGTTCCAGGGCAAAAGGGTCTGGCTGGTATGCCAGGTGGAAAAGGTACGCCTACTTCTCTTAAGGTCTTTCCCACAGGGTTCACTCTCACTTTCATGGGGGCATAACACTGCTCAGATGAATCTTTTAGAAACCCAAAAAGCTAGACACTGTTTAAAAGACATAAACAGCCCTAGCTGGTTTGGCTCTAGTGGTTAGAGCATAAGCCCACAGACTGAAGGGTCTCGGGTTCTAATCCCAGCAAGGGCACGTACTTTGATTGCAGGCTTGATCCCCGGCCCCACTTGGGGTGCATGCTGGAGGCAGCCAATCGATGTGTCTCTCTCGCATCGATGTTTCTCTCTCCCTTCCACTATCTCTGAAAAGCAGTGGAAAAAATATCCTCAGGTGTAGATTAAAAATAAATACACAAACTAATAAAAACTAGGGTTAGGGAAGAGTTAGGAATTGGCTTTTAATGGGCGCAGGATTACTTTCTGGAGTGATAAAAATGTTCTGAAGTTAGGTGATGGTGATGGTTGCACAACTGTAAGTACATTAAAAACCACTGAATTATTCTCTTTAAATGAGTGAATTGTATGCTATGCAAATTATATCTCAGTAAAGCTGTTTTTTAGAAATGTAATTACTCTTCGAAGAGTTAAAACTTATACAGATTCTTAGAAAAATAGAAATTACAGTCTAGGGCACTACATTTTCCAAGCTTTCTACTCATACTTAAAATTTCAATTAATCTTCATTTTAATTTAGGGTTTACAGGCCACTGAGCAAAAACTGATATTTTACAATTAAATTTAAAATGAAGTTACACTTGGATTCTGCACCATTTTCTTTCCAGCTCCACTACACCATTCCCTCCAGCGTCCTTGGCAGGAAGTAAACTGTGGGAGTGCCTGGCCCTCCACTGGACAGCAAGCTCTCCAAGGACTAGAACAATTTACAGTGCTTTTGTTCCCCTCCGTTTCTAGCCCAGGGCTACAAACTCAATAAATGTTCAGTAAATGGAACTGAATTCTTTCCATTCAGCTGACTCTCACTTACCAGCTGCCCTCCCAGTGAACACAGATTCTGGAACATTCTCAGCCTGGACCTTATAGCACAATTCTCCGACTTGTCCACAGCCTCCCAAGCCCCCTGACCAGTTTATGAACTCCTTGTAAGTTCCCTGGCAGCACCCCACCCTCGTATTACTGTGACCGCCCCAGGTCTGGCTGACCCGTTGTGAATCCTGAGGCTCAGCTGGTGCCTGCAGGAAGGGGATGGAGCTGGAGTCCTTCCTCATTTGATACTTACTACTTGTGGCCAAGGTTGATCGCTGTCTCATCAGAGTGCAAATAAATAACTCTCCCTCACATTCTGTGACACCCTGCCACACTCATCCTTGTGTTGTCCTGGTGGCACAGCTCCTTCCATCCCGATGTGCTCTGTGCCCACACCTCCACTGTAGAGAAGGGGTTGGGGAAGGGAGAAGACAGGTATGTGTCTCTCAGAGCCCCTCACCCCCAGCCCACAGGCTTCCGGATCAGGGGACACATGTGGTCCCTCTGCTTAGAGCCTCTTGGGGCTCAGGTTTTGAAGAACAGTAGCAGCTGAGTCCTGCTCCACCTGTGTTTTTACACCCGGTCTAGGGGTAAAGTGAAATGACTGCATTCTGTTCCCTTCCAGGAAACCGAGGGGAACCAGGACCCCCAGGACCACCTCCTTTGATCGAGCCAGGAATGCCGTTGATTAAAGGGGAGAAAGGAGAAGAAGGACCTATGGGGTTGAAGGGCGACCTGGGTGTAAAAGGTGAGGTCTCATCGAAAGGCCCAGTCTGACCTCTGAGCTGTCAGACCTGTGGGGTCCCATCCCTCCCCGCCCAGCCCGGTACCTACCCCTGCCTCTCCCTGTGTGGAAGGGGAGCAGCTTCTGCACCAGAGACACCCCTGTGCCCACACCAACCTTCACTGTGTTCCAGCCCTTTTGACACCCTGACATCTCCTAGCATGGGCTCCCAGGGGGTTCTTTGAGGCCTGATTAGCCTTGCCTTCCCATTTTAAGATTTGCAGCACTGGGGACAGCAAAGTTGAACCCTTGGGGAGGGCAGGTGCCGCGTCCTCACAGGGCATTACACTCAGGGGTCTCCCTGCAGGTGTTCCAGGAATGCCGGGGATCCCTGGGCTGTCAGGCGTCCCTGGGTTGCCTGGGAGGCCCGGCTACATCAAAGGAGTCAAAGGAGACATCGGAGTTCCCGGCGTGCCCGGTTTGCCAGGATTCCCTGGTGTGCCAGGTTCCCCTGGAATTACAGGGTTTCCAGGCTTCGTAGGAAGTAGGGTAAGTGGGTACCTTTTATTCCACATTTTATTGTCATTTCCCCTCCCCTCGCTTGTTGACTAGAGTGCCATGGCCAGCACCTGAGGTCAAGGCACAGGTTTGGAGTTAGAGCCCGGGCTGTGTTGGGTCCCTGGGTCAGCGCAGGAAATGCTGTGCTCATGCCAGCACCAGGTGTGATCAGAGTGCCGCCCATGCCACTGCTGTCCTTGCGTGGGCTTCTGTTGGATGGAGCGCGGTGTCTGCATTTTCTCATGGGAACCTAGAGAACAAAACTTGGATTTCTAGAGATCTGAGCTCTAAACTCGAGCACATACGTGACATCAGGACTAAAGGCCCATTACCGGATCGCAGCGTGGGGGACACCTGGCCCCCCGTTTACTCATTTCTTCACTCTACATGTCTTTTGAGCATTTGCCTTCTGCCAGGCACCATGTTTTAATGGCATCAGTGGTGTCATCTCTCCACACCTGTGGCCTCACCTATAAAATGCAGGCAGTAGCTACCTTGCGGCTTTAGTGAGCGCAGGATAGATGATATGTGCAGCGTGGCACAGCGTGGCTCTCCGTAGACTATTGCACAGAATGCTCTTTCCATCCTTGTACACTTAAAAGGTATTGTGCACAGTCCTCGGCACACGACCGACTCGTTTCTGGCATTGACAGTGAGCACCACATGCGGGGGAGATCAGAAGTTCTAGCCACTCTAGCAAACCTTTAGGGACAGGCCCTGGCTTGGCCTCTGTCCAGCCCACCCTGGTGTACATGGAGTCCTCAGAATTCTTCAGGTGTCTTCCTTCCATCACCCCCAAAATCTGTACCTGAGAGGATCTTATTCCAGTCTTGTGAGCAGCTAAGTCAGGTCAATTTAAAAAAGTAAGAGGCATATATCTACGGAAGAACGCGTCTGACCACGTTCCCAGCAGCTATGTTCATGAGGGTCAAAAACTGCGAAACACCCACAGGGAACAGAATAAATAAACATGGTACGTTCAGACAGTGGGCTAGTGCGCAGGAGTAAAATGAGAATTATTGACAAACGCAAAAACACTAATGAATCTCACAGACTTTATATTGAACGAAATAAGCCAGAAACAGGAAGTGCATATGATACGATTCCATTTTTATGACAAGACTGTTTGATGGAGGCAAGTCAGAAGAGAGGCAGGATTATTAGTAGGAAAGGGCACCAGGGAACTTTCTAGAGTACTGAATGTTCTATGTCTTTATCTGGGTGTCACATGCGTAAGAATTCATTGAGCATCTAAGATGAATGCACTGTGCTGTATGTAAGTATAAAGCAAGCTTTAGGAAAGAAAAGAGTGTTGTCTAAGCAAGGGTTCAGCCTCCGGTACATCTTCCCACTCCTCCCGCAAAATGGGGCTTCATTAATAATTTAAGAGATGTAAGGTAAGCCATGCTAGGAAAGGGCATTCCTGAAGTCCCAGGTTGATGCTAAAGTAGAAACCAGTGGGAGCAAGGTAGACCAGAACTCCCACCCTCCCTGTGAGGTGGAGACACTTCAAAGAGAAAAACCATGGTTTCTTTTGAGTCACAGAGTAACACATCATTCCAATCTTATGATTAACAACAAACATCGTTCAGGAGAAGTCTCACTCTAGCCACAGGTGGACGTGCACAGCCATGTAATACAGAGCAAGTCTGAGAATCTCGCAGCCCAGATCAGTATCCCAATGCTGCTGCTTAATAGCTGAGTGACATTGATCATAATACTAACCTCTTCGTGCCTCAGTTTCCTCATCTGTCTATAGCATCTACTTCATAGGGTTGTTGTGAGGATTAAAAAGCTCTTGATGCCCTTCCCGGGTGGCTCAGTTGGTTGGCGAGTCATCCCCTGCACCAAAAGTTTGCGGATTCTGTTTCCCACCAGAGTACATACCAAGGTTTCAGGTTTCCACCCCCAGACACGTCGGGGGCACGTCAGGGAGGCAGGCAACTGATCCATGTTTCTCTCTCTCTCTCTAACAAAATCAATAAAAACATATCCTCAGGTGAGGATTTAAAAAAAAAAAGTTCTTGCGATGGGACCCAACCTGCTCACCTGTGGAACGCGTGGCAGAGGGTGAGGCTGCCGTCAGCCGTGGCTGTTCTTGCCACCATCGTGACCACGATCTGCATCAGCGGTTACTGATTTCAGTAAAGCTGCCAAGCTTGTTTCATTTTTACTACTTTACATTTAATAAGGCAGAGTAAGCAAGCCACCTAATTAATTGCACTGGAAAAAACATTAGGAGTTTTCTACAAAATGATGACATCACCCGGCCAGAGTTGCTCAGTGGTTGAGCATCGACCTAGGATCCAGGCGATCTTAGTTCGATTCCCAGTCAGGGCACATGCCCGAGTTGCAGGCTCGATCCCCAGTGGGGGCCTGCAGGAGGCAGCCGATCAATGACTCTCTCTCATTGGTGTTTCTCTTTCTCTCCCTTTCTCTCTCTGAAATCAATAAAGACGTATTTAAAGGGGAAAAAATGACATCACAAACCTTGAGTGTTTTGAGCATACCAAATAGTTGACTACACTAACCTTCAAAATTACAAACTTATTTTATGAACAGACTTTTAAGATGGTTTTGTCTTTGGCTCTAGGGTGACAAGGGTGCTCCGGGGACAGCAGGTCTTTATGGCGAGAGTGGCCCCACGGGTGATTTTGGTGAGTGTTGCTCAGGCAGTGAAAATGGGACATCCACGATCCAGAGCATTCTTGGGAGATGTGTTGTGTCAGATCCACAGAACCATTGGTTATCTTGAAGCAAAGTATTCTTATTAAGAATGTAGTGCAGCAGAAGTTACAAAATTAACCACCTGTTCTCAATCAACTTTTCTGCACCTAACAGGTGATATTGGAGACACTATAAATTTACCCGGAAGCCCAGGCCAGAAGGGGGAACAGGGCACCATTGGAACACCAGGTACCTAAGTCTTTTTCCATCTCTTCCTCTCATCAACATCCCTGACCCCTCTCTGTGTTGTCACCTAGAAGCTAGCTTGCCTAATCTATCACTATGTGGTAAGCACTGTGGATCATGTTAGAGGGAATGGTTTGAGGTCTTCAAGCCCAGTGTACAAGAGATACTCTGAAATTCTTAATTAAATTAAAGCCAGAGATAAAGTTTCTCTGCCTCTCCCTGAAAGGGAAAATCGCCAGAATCAACACTCATAAAATCAACATTTTATGTGGCCCGTAAAATGAGACTCATGAAAAAGAAGCAGAGCCTGGCTCCGGGGACACATTATAGAGCATAAAACAAATGATACAGTGACTGGAGCTTCTTGTAAACAGTGAAAGGTCTAGAAGAAAGGTCAGTGGGAGTTCGGCCCATCTCTTGAGTATGGGCAGCCCCTGATCCTGAGTACATTGGGGGGCCTCATGTGAGGTCACTCTTCTCTGAGCATCCCTGAAGTTCAAGGTCAAAATTCCTGCCTATAATCATATCCCAAGGGACATTTGATAGTATGATGCCTTCTTCTGGAGATTTTATCTTGGGGGACCTCACACTGCTTAAGCTGCCTGGAGCCCCAAGTCTTTCTAGGGATAGCCCTGGTTGGGGCAAAGAGTCTGTTCATGTGATTGGCCAGTAGGGAGGATCCTGAGCTGGTTCTTTATCTAGAAAGAGCTCCAGATTGGAAAGGGGTATTCAGTCTACCATGGGATCAGAGGACTACCACTCAGGAATAGGCAGCCTCATCTACAAGCCTCTCTGGACTCTGTGGATCTATAATTTGGTTTCCCGATGGCTCTCCTTTCAGTCACAGGGTACCCTGGGCTGCTGAGCCTTCTGGCTCTTGGCTGGCTAAATCTCCTGTCCTAAATAACTACTTGGGCAATTTGGTTTATCTTGGCAGAAATGTGAGGCCATCTTTGCCACATGTCACTAATGATGACCTCATTTTGCAACTGAAAATGTGTCAGGAAAGAGAAGTTACCCTTGAGGGTTTAGGTTTTAGTTAAACTGTGGGCCCAGGAAATAGACCCTCCCACTCTGTCCATTGCCAGGAGACTGTATCACAGGGCTAGAGGGGCAGTGGTGGTTTAATCAGCCATCCTTGGGAGTCTTCCACTCATCCTTACCCCAGACCTACTAAGTCACCTCTGGGAGAAGCTCAAACATCTGCATGTTTAACAAATTCCCCAGATTTCCATGGCACATCACACATTAAAAACCGCTCTAATTAGTTATCTATTGATGCTTAACAAGGTACCCAAAATGCAGTGGCTTAGAACACCAACAAGCAAGTATTATCTCATATATTTTCTGAGGGTCAGGAATTTGGGAACAGGGTGGTTCTGACATGGGGTCTGTCATGAGATTCCAGTCGTGACATCGGCAGGGCTGCGCCATCTGAAGGCTGGAGAACCCTCCTCCGAGATGGCCCTCTCACACGGCTCCTGGTGGGAGGCCTCAGTTCCTCGACACAAGGGCCTCTGTCAAGGCTGCTTGAGTGTCCTCACAACATGGCAGTGGCTTCCTCCAGAGCAGGTGATCCAAGAGAGGTGACAAAGTGAAAAGACGAACTTTATGTCCTAAGCTTGAAGTGACACACCGTGATTTCCACGGTATCCTGGTGGTGACACAATTCAGCCCTTCAGTGTGGGAGGGGACTGCATACGGGTATGAATATCAGAATGTGGGGACCACTGGGTGCCAGCTTGGGAGCTGCTGATCTCAGGCTCAGAGGGAAGAATTAGGTAAAATACTAGTTGATGACAGAACATGTTTAGATACTCACCCCCCTTCACAACAGAAGTACCGAGTGTGATAAGGCAGCGTCCTCTAACTTGTGTCCCCTTGAACCCTGCAAGCGTTAAGCCCCAGTGTGATGCATGTTGATGGTCTGTTCCAAGCAGCAAATCTGTGGTTACAGGTCTAAAGGGGTACTTTGGAGAGAAAGGAACAGAAGGTGACATCGGCTTCCCCGGGATAACAGGCATAGCTGGAGCCCAAGGCCCTCCCGGACTTTCAGGGCAAACAGGTAACTCTTGTAGTCACACAGTCTTCCTGCAGCACACGCACTCCCCTGGGTATGGCTTGAAGGTGCAGCGCCGGTGGGGCAGAGTACAGCTGAGCCTCCCAATCTCCAAGACCCCATCAACAAAGGCCAGTTTCACCAAGGAGTTATCTGCTAGTTTCGCACTTCACCCTAGGAAGCTTGCTCTTGCACGGTTCACCTGCCGGTTCACCTCGCTCTGCCTTAGCGCCAGACACGCGGGAACAACCAACCTGGCTGTGGGGGGCGGGTTTGTGTGGCCCAGTGTCTGTCCCTCCATGAGCACAGACTAAGTTCTTGTTACAGGATCTCTTTCATGAATTTGCATATGCAGAAATTCCTTTGGGGACCCCAAGTTAATGACAAAGCAAACAGTGAACTAGTTTCATGGTTTTTTGGTTTATTGCTGCTTTTGTTTTGTTTGCTTCTGCCCAGGACCTGTGATTCTGACAGGCCCATCCTCAAGAGTTTGTGTTGTGGGTTCTCTCCAAACGTCTATTTGGATGATAGGATGGGAATAAGAAAACACCAGCTGTTCTCTCTTTGGAAAGGCTGAGCTAACTCCACTGAACTTGAATGTGGGGTCCAAAGCCACTTGCATTCCCTGCCTGAAGAGAAGCTGGTCCTTTCCCGAAAAGCACCCCGTCCTCCCCATGCAGGCAGGACCTGGAGGCTGGGAGGCAGGCCTCTCCCAAGGTCTTCAGGGTTCCTATGTCCGATTTATGTATTTGTCTCCCCTCCCCCAGGCTTTCCAGGACTGACAGGCCAGCGGGGGCCACAAGGAGACCCTGGCCGGGCTGGAGTGCCGGGCACCAAAGGAGATTATGGCTGGCCAGGTACTCCGGGCTCACCAGGTAAGACAGTCCCTCCTTTCACAGACACAAGCGCACGATGAGTCACAAACAGATTTGCCAGCCCAACAGGCGTGGCTCAGAGGTTGAGCATCAGCGTAGGATCCAGGTGATTGCGGTTCGATTCCAAGTCAGGGTACATGCCCAGGTTTCCAGCTCAACCCCCAGTAGGGGGCATGCAGAAGGCAGCCGATCAGTGACTCTCTCATTATTGATGTTTCTATCTCTCTCTCTCTCCCCCTCTCCCTTCCTCTCTCTGAAATCAATAAAATCAATAAAAACATTTTTAAAAAAACAAAACAGATTCGCCAGTTGAGGAGAGGCACTATTAACCAGGTTAAGCTCTCTCCACGCTCTTTTCTGTAAGAATGTGTGAGATAAAAGGCAGCGGCGTTCGCAGTTTACTGTCCACACAAAACACATCTGGGAAAAGATAGACACACCAATCTGCAGAGAAGTGCTTCGCTCCCTAGGATGATAAATGAAAACTGCCCAGGAAGCCTCAGTGCCCACCCCTCAGTCAGCATATGGGCAGCACAGAGGAGGGACCAGGGGGACAGACACCAATTTGTTCCTCTACAGGCTTCCCAGCTTCCCACTGACTGAGGTCTGGTGGAGCCCTTGGCAGGACTTAGAGAGTTAGGCAGTCTGACCTGGACAGGCCCCTGCTCAGGGACAGACCATGAGTGGCTGGACAGGCCCATGTCAGGGACAGGCCCTCAGTGGCTGGACAGGCCCCTGGTGGGGGACAAGCCCTCAGCTGCTCTATTGCTCAGAATTAAGGATGACCCACCACCTCCACACTCACTGTTCACATCACAGGGAGAATTGCCACCTGTGTCCCGTGTCCTACTTTAGAAATGTTTGTCCTCGAAAATCCAGAGAGAACAGAACTAATGCCAGGATTCGTCCCAGGCAGTTTTTACAAATCAAACATGTATAGGCACTCAAGCTCCAAGAAGAGAAATGGAATACACCACTTCCCAGTTCCCTCCCGGCTCGAATAAGTCTGTAAAGATTTTAGGAAATCAATCTTTAACTTACTGGTTCTCTCAGGTGACATAGAAGTGATTGATTTACATGTCAGACTATATGCTGAACTGTTCGCGGGGGTTTTGAATAAATTGGATGGGTAACCCTATCATATCAGATGAATTATTTTAAGGGTTTCTTTTTGGCTCTGAAATAACCATGAGTGAAACCCACACAGGTTCACCGGGCATCCGAGGCATCGGTGGATTACACGGCTTGCCAGGCACCAAAGGCTTCCCAGGATCCCCAGGTACCCATGGCAGTTGCAGCCACTAGGCCACAAAGCCACGCCCAGCATGGCAGGGAGGGGGCAGGGTCTGGGAGGGCCATGTAGGATACAGGATATGTTGGAAGGTGTTCAGAGAGCAGAACTGCTCCATGAAGACTGATCACCCTGACGCCGTGTGGACTCAGGGTCCCTGTGGTTCTGCAGACCACCTCCCCAGGGTTCCACCTCCAAAAACCATCACACTGGAAACTAGGCCTTCAACATAAGAATTTTGGCGAGATAGTTCATTCATAGCAGTGATATGCCAGTCTCAGATTGTGGGACACTGAGGCCACATAGCAAACTGAAATTGCCCAGCTGCCTTCTGGTTGCCTGTATTTGAGTCTCACCAAAGAGCATTACTGTTCTTTCATTTGTGAAAATTAACCTTGCGTGGTTGAAGATGCTGACGTCGCCGCTGTTTAACCCTGCCACAGGTGCAGACATCCATGGAGACCCAGGTTTCCCAGGTCCTGCTGGGGAAGCGGGTGAGCCAGGAGAGGCCAACATCCTTCCAGGCCCTAGCGGAGCCCCAGGACAAAAAGGGGAGCGAGGAGTTCCAGGTGAGGCCAGACACGTCCAGCATTTCCATCTGCATATCCAGAACCCAGTGCTTTGCTGGGCAGCCAGAGTGGGAGAGATATGAAGTCATGCTTGTCAGTTCACCCATCTGCCCCGTGAATGGAGTTAGGAAAAGAGTCCCTCGAGGATGGAGATGAGACCCAGCCTGGGAGGAACAGGGAAGTGAGAGACCTCGATTCCACATGGCGTGTGCAGTTCTGGCCCACAGACAGCACTTACAAAACATCACAACATCGTACTCTGTATCACACAGCATGTATTAGCACCTGATTCACAGAACATACTGTTTAGGCTCTGCAACTGACAAGAGACAGAGTACACATGAGCAGAAACTAGCTCTCTTTCATTCCTTTGTGTATATGTCGGCTAAATGCCTGGCACAGGGTAAGTGCTCAATATTGGTTCAAAGTCAATACTGTGAAACTATAAGGTAACTGTCTTTGACCTCTACTGAAAAGCTATGTGTGCTCCAGGATATCCTGAAATTGTCCTATGACATGTTCACCTGTGCAGCATTAGTTTCTCAGAACCCTTTGAACATACTGTGTAGCTGCCTGCACTCCATCAAGGGGACCTCAAACATATCTCGGGCTCTCAAATGACCTTGAAGCATAGGGTCTCTTTTTTAAAGCTGTTGTCCCCTTACAAAGCCCTCATCCCACATGAAAGTCACCATAGCCCAGTGACCTGGTGGCTCCTGAGTGGTCCTTCAGGCCAGAGCAGACCTTTTCCTCTGCCCACCAGGCCTCTGGGGATAAGGAATGGTGACTTTCAGTGGTGACATTCACAGATGGCTGGTCAGGACTCTCACTCTTCTCTAAGAATAGGGAAATAATGCCAATCTGTGGAGTCCCTGCATGAGTTTCAGAAGCTCGAATTTGCAGCCGCAATTATTTCTGCAGTGATGTTTGAACTTCAGGTCATGATTTGATTATGAGTTTTGCAAAACGGCCTTTCATTGAACCTCCATTGGGCAGGGCTTTTATTTCAATACTTAGGAAGATTCATGAGGACCACAGAGAAAATGGAGTTATTTTGGCCCTGATTGCAGCAAACTAACTCCTGCTCCTTCCATGTCCTCATTAACAGCGGCCCACTCACTGCAGTTAGTTGAGCGCATTATGTTTTCGTGGGAGCCTGGCCAATCTGGATCTTCTAACTCAAGAGTTTTGCTGTTAGTCACTGCTGCTCACCATCTGTTTTGGTTTCTTTGTGACAATAGTTAGAAGCAGCTCACCTGGTGTTATTTTATATCCAACTACAGATAGTGGCTGGTTAATCCCCTCAGTCTAGTAAACGCACTAGCATATTGCCTGTAATTAGTGAGACCGAGGCAACACCTTCTGGAACGTGCTTCTTCGTAACACTCGGAAGTTGCCTGAACAGCGCCTGTCCCCCTGTTCTAGGCACCAGAACCTCCCAATGTGAAAGTCTCTTCATGTTGCTGATGAATAGCGATTCGTCATGAAGCCACGTGGGGGACACAGGCACCGCTATCTCACAGATTTTCACTGTGTTGTCCCAACTCACTCTTCCCTCTATGGTAGAGATAATGGTCCCTGGCAACTGTGACATTCTGATTTTTTTGCAGAGTTCTCGTACTAACCTCTGAGTCCCCAGACCTTAAGGGAAAACAAATACTCGTATGGCAATTAGGGGAGAAACTAGTCTCCTTCCCTGTTGGCCATTTATCTTGCCACTTGCCATAGCTGGGACCCAAGATACTGAAGAATAGACACAGGGAGAATTAAAAATATCGGTGTGGCTCAGAGCCTCATCTTGCCAGTACTGGAGACTTCTGTCCCATCACAAGTGCCAGCAGAACCAACAGACCTCACCTCTCAAGATGCCGCCAGGGCGGCCCGAGGTGTCATACACAAGTAGCCACATCAGTGAGGCACAGTGACGCAGTCTCTGAGCAGGTAGCCTCCGTGTGAGAATGAGATCCCAGTGGAGGTGGGTCCGAGGGGCCCTCTTGGCAGCTGATGGGGCTGGTGGAAGTGGGGGACACAAGACCGCTACCTCCCTGTCCCCACCCCCAAGAGCTGTGTTCGACATTCCCTGGCCTCAGGGCACCGCCCATCACTGCCTGTCCTTGGTGGCTGTGCCCCTGGACAGGTGATAGCATGGAGGGGAAACAACAGATGAAAAAGTTGGATGCTGACACTAAAAACAACTTCTGTTTCCCTCCTAAGGAGAACGAGGCCCAGCTGGGAGTCCAGGACTGCAGGGGTTCCCAGGCTTCACACCCCCTTCCAACATCTCTGGGTTACCTGGCGACCAAGGGGCGGCCGGGATATTTGGCCTAAAAGGTAAGCAGGGCTCACACTTCTGGGCGTTGGAATCTCTCAGGGCTCACACAGGACAAACACTGCGCTTCCACCCATATGAGGTCCTCAGAAGAGTCCAGTTCGTAGAGACAGGAAAGAAGATTGGGGGTTGCCGGGGCTGGGGGAAGGGGGAAGGGAGTTAGTGCTTCATGGGGACAGAGTTTCAGTTTGGGACAATGAAAAAGCTCTGAGGTGGATGGTGGTGATAATTGTACAACAGTGTGAATGGACTTGATACCACTGAACTGTGCACTTAAAATGGTTAAAATGATAAATTTGTGTCACTTATATTTTACCACAATAAAAAGAAAAAGTCACCCAGTGTTACAAACTTGCCAGAGACTAAACAGATGGCTTTCTGTCCATCTTCCTGGGCTCCCCCAGACCATTGTGACACCTTCCTCCCGTTTAACCTCTCCTCTCTTGTGACTGATTTTGACAGGTTATCCAGGCCCCCCGGGGCCACCTGGGCCTGCTGCTATTCCTGGAAGCAAAGGTGATGAGGGGTACCCAGGAGCTCCAGGAAACCCAGGGACCAAAGGATGGGTTGGGGACCCTGGGCCCCAAGGCCGGCCTGGTGTGTTCGGTCCCCCTGGGGAAAAAGGTAACTGTGCCCACACGAAGGTGTCATGTCCTGGGGGAGGCTGGTAGCAGTGGTCAAAGATAACTAGAGCCCCTGCCCAGGCATGTGTCCTGAATGTCCTCCTTGTCTCCAAGGGCCAAGAGGTGAGCAAGGATTCATGGGAAACATAGGAGTCACCGGAAGTGTGGGCGACCGAGGCCCTAAGGGACCCAAAGGAGAACGAGGGTTCCCGGGTAAGTGGCAGCTAACATGCCTGCGGAGCCACCGTCTTAGATCGGCTGCCCCCAGGAGTGGGCTTCAGAACTACCCCTGCCCCTCTGGGCATGGGGACAACTCTAAAGCCAGTCTTTGTCCTGTGGCCCAAACCCTAAAGTGCAAAGAGGAAAGCAAGGTGGGGTCTGCAGGCACTCCCGCGGGTGCATGAAAGTAATCCTTGGGGGGCAGGTACTGACGGCCTCTCAGATGAGTCATTGTTAACCCCCTTCATCTCTAGGAAGCAAGATTGTTCTTCAGAGCTCCAAGATTGGTTTCAACGAGTAAAGCAATGGGATAGAAAAGAAATGATATGCATATATGCATAATCCATGAACACAGACAATAGCGGTGAAGGCCTGGGGGTACAGGTGTGGGGTGGAAGGAGTCGATGGGGAGAAAAGGAGACATCTGCAATACTTTCAACAATAAAGATAATTTTTTTTTAAAAAGCAATCAGAACAAGAAAGTGAGTGGTCCTCCTGTGTCAACTGGCCTTCCTTTTCCCTTTCCAGGTACCCCCGGTCCTGTGGGATCCCCAGGGATTGTAGGAATCCCCCAGAAGATTACCATCCAGACCGGGCCAGTGGGTCCACAGGGAAGGAGAGGCCCCCCTGGGGCACAGGGAGAGATGGGACCCCAGGGTCCCCCAGGAGAACCAGGTAGGAGCCTTATTGTAGGGCTACCAGGGAAAGGCTCCTTGTCTTATTTGCTTTGTTTCCACTTTTGTTTCTTGCCAAAAGCATTTTTTTAAAAAAATATGTCTTTATTGGTTTCAGAGAGAGGAAGGGAGATGGAGAGAGAGATCAGTGATGAGAGTCATTGATCAGCTGCCTCCTGCATGCCCCTGACTGGGGATCGAGCCCGCAACCCGGGCATGTGCCCCAACTGGGAATCAAACCCCGATCTCCTGGATCCTAGGTCGATGCTCAAGAGCTGAGCCATACCGGCGGGGCACCAAAAGCATTTTTCAAGCACTAGTGTCACTCTTTCTGTGGCACTCACACCTTTTCCATGACTGTGCAGGTTTCCGCGGAGCTCCTGGGAAGGCAGGGCCCCAGGGAAGAGGCGGTGTGTCTGCCATTCCCGGATTCCGAGGAGACCAGGGGCCCATGGGACACCAGGGACCAGTTGGCCAGGAAGGTGAGTGATGGACGATGAAAGGAGGCGGTGGGCTGGGGTCTGCCGGGGTCTGACAGATGGACTGTGGTATGCAAGGAGGAAATGAATAAACAAGTGCTGAGAGGAGCAGAGATAAGAGGCTGCACCCCTTCCTCTCTGAAACCCCAGCTCAGCTCCCAGGACCCTCACTGCAGCCTTGGTCCTGGATGCACCCCATAACACCTGCACCTAGCAGAGCACCTGAGCCTAGCAGAACACCTGGCACAGAATCTCCAGGACAGGCTGGCTTCTTTCCTTCCTCTGAGACATGTGCAGGTGCCTCAGAAAAGGAAGCAATTGGCACACCTGAGAGACAAGATTTGTGAAGATCTGAAGGCCTGAGACAGTGAGCTAAAAAACAATTACATTAACAGGAGCCATTGTAAAGTCTTGTATTATTGATTTCTTAAAATTATTTGTACATGTGCAGAATGAGCTAGGCTAGAAATAATAGCAAGTCATGCAAAAAAAAATTCTTGGGATTTGTCACCCACCTGTGCTCATTATGGTATGAGACTGCACTGTCAGCTCCCAGATCCCGGGAAACAGCGATCTACTGCCCTCCGGATGGACTCACCCGCGGCCAGATTGTGTAGCATGGGGGACGCACATCTGAAACACACATGGGCAGGTAGCAGCCATCCAGGCTAGGAGACTGAGACAGCGCAGGGCGGAGGGGTTTCCTAGTGAGAAAGCAACAAGATACGAAAATGTCCTTGCAGGGGAAGGGTCATGGGAGGCACGATCGGGACAGCTGATTTCAAACGCTTGAAGGGTTGTCCTGGTGAAGGCAGAGCAGACATCCTTCTGTGCCCTGAGGGGAGAATCCGGCCCCGAGTGGATATTTCTAACCCCAGGATGAGCCGCCTCTCCCTAAGCATCCAGGAAAGGGAGGCCTGCCGCTTGGGATAGAGGCCAGTTGGTTAAGGGATGGAGAATGCAGGTTGATACATCTGGGGACCCTGCCAGCTGTTCTAGTTCTTGCTGAGCACCCTGAGGGGAAAGCTAGCGGGGCCGACTGAGCCTGTGCCCTTGTTCAGTACCCTCACTGTCAGCACCTCATGCTTCCTGAACATGGAACGTAGGTCAGGTCCTCCCCGGGAGGCTCTGGTCTTCAAGGGCAGAGGCACTGACACCTCAGCCTCGGAAGAAAGCCAAGCGACTGCTGTACATGTTACCACGTGGTGTCGGCCGCGGGCTGTGGGCTGTGGGCTGTGGGCTGTGGGCTAAGGTCTACATTGCAGCTGAAAAGTGGCTCCTTTCTTTCGGACCCTAGGGGAGCCAGGCCGCCCGGGGACCCCCGGCCTGCCCGGCATGCCTGGCCGCAGCGTCGGCATCGGCTACCTGCTGGTGAAGCACAGCCAGACAGACCAGGAGCCCATGTGCCCCGTGGGCATGAACAAGCTCTGGAGTGGATACAGCCTGCTGTACTTTGAAGGCCAGGAGAAAGCCCACAACCAGGACCTGGGTGCGTACCACCCGCCGGGCCCCGAGGCCCCTCAGCTGGAGGTGGTCAGGATCGAATGGCCACAGTGAGGTTCATGAGTCCTCTAAGGTGGATGAGCTTCTCCTGATTGAAGGCTCTGGTCCCATTCACGTCTCTGGGGCTTTAGAAAAGATTAAAATGGCCTTTGATGCCCTCAGGTCAGGACCACGGAGACCCGCCTCTATGGGCTCCCTTGAGGCCCAGCCTTGTGCTGGCTCCTCTCTGCCTGGAGCCACCAGCTGCCTTACCTCCTTCTTGCTTTTTGCCCCAAGTTCTGTAAACAGTCAGGCTGGGGCCGTGGGGGCCTGGAAGTCACATAGAACCCCCAGGAGAATGGATATGTGGATGGGTTTGCTCGGATTTATTCAAGTAAGCCTGGTTGCCAAAGGAATTAAAATGACTTAAAAGCACACAGAAAATGGAGCAAGCGCACATTAAAAGCAGGGGCATGGGGGGAGGGTGCCTCAGTCTGTGGTGTCTGTGGTGGGGACAGTGGTTGAGGAAACCTGTCCCACTGAATCCTGACGATGTCTGCACATTCCTCTCTGTATGATCTACCTCCGAAATAATTGTTTTTGAAACTGGGGCAAAGGAAACAAGAAAAAGGGCCTGAGAGCGGGACCAGGGCCAAGAAGGCATCCACAGTGCTTGACAGGCTTGCTAAAGGTGGAGCACCGTTTGGTTCTACACGTGTGAGCAGTCAGTGGGAAAAGGGAACCCTGCTCAACTGAGTAATTACTCTGGCCATAAGGAAAGTTGATTTTTTTACCCAGAAGCAATAGAGTTATCTGCACATGGAAGTGGCCAGTGTTTCTTCTGGGAGGGTGCTGTGGGGTGTGGTGAGCCAGACGCTCATCTCAGATGCTATCGAGGGTTTCTTCAGTGGGTGCTTTAAGACCCCCAACAGTGGCCTCACTCGAAGTACTATTTGTAAAGATACCACTCCCCGCTGACCCAGCTTGGCCCAGAGGTGTGTGTGAGAACTTCTAGAAGGGCAGGGCTAAAACGCCAGTATAGTCTGTTTCCCCCCAAAAATTGGAAATTGGCTCAGTCCCTCAGTGTGCAGCTGAGCCCCTCCAAATGGGCACTGGGGCAGGTCCCTGACACGGGACCTCCGAGCCCAGCCGGGCCTGGAGGAGCCTCTTCCCGGCCACACTCCACGGTGACCTCCTTTTGCAGGGCTGGCGGGCTCCTGCCTGGCTCGGTTCAGCACCATGCCCTTCCTGTACTGCAACCCTGGGGACGTCTGCTACTACGCCAGCCGCAATGACAAGTCCTACTGGCTCTCCACCACGGCCCCGCTGCCTATGATGCCTGTGACCGAAGACGAAATCAAGCCCTACATCAGCCGCTGCTCCGTGTGCGAGGCCCCGGCCGTCGCCATAGCTGTCCACAGTCAGGACGTCTCCATCCCCCACTGCCCCGCCGGGTGGCGGAGTTTGTGGATAGGATATTCCTTCCTCATGGTAGGTGGTGCTTGCAGCTCTCGCTCAGCCGTGGAACCAGGTGGAAATCGAGTTCCTCTCCCCAACCACCCCCTGGCTGGGGATGCCGCAAGAACAGCTGCCAAAAGTAACCAGACAGGGCAGTTCTGCAGGCCGCGCACTGCCCAGGGCGGGAGTGAGAGCCTGAGTGTAGCCTGCACTTTTGCCTGCACTTTGTTAACTGAGCCACATGCCTTGGCCTGGGGCCGACCCTGCCCAGAAGGGACCCGTTAATTTGCCACCAAGCCTTTTTAATTAGAATAAATTTGGCTCGTCATCCGTCTTCCTAAGCAGAACACTAAAAGTAAAACTCTACCAGTTTATCCTAAGGCTAAACACAGGGAAGACTTCTATCTAGAATCTGAAGTACCCTATGTAGTATCTATCTAGAACCTAAAGTGCCCTCAAGAAACATCCAGTAACTGGTTGGTTTTAAAGCAGATATATGTGTGCTGATGAGGAAAATCCTGGAATATCACCATCAGGTCACCTTTGGGTATAGAGAACTCTGTCCTGGCCAGCTTACGTTTAGCTTAACATTAAGAGAAGCGACTACACCATGGTAGCATCCCTTACAATTACCACTCACTCCACCACTGTAGGGAGAAAGGAAAGTCCAGTGGGGGTAGTAGATCTTCTATTTCATTTTTATTGATTGTGACTATCATAACTCCATCATAACTCTAGCCATGGTGACATTAAATATTTCATAAATTATATTAATGATATAATATATAAATGGATTCACAGAAACTCAGAGCCCTTACTCAGCCAGGCTGGTCCCAGCTCTGAGGCTCCCAACCCGGTGCTTCCTCCTGACCCCGTCCCAACAGCCTCAGGAGTCTCCCTTGGGGAGCCCTTTCCAGGGCCTACTGGGCAGCTCCCAGGCATGGCCTCAGCTCTCTCAGACCAGAGTGGGGCCTGAGACGCCTCGTGAAGATATGCCTGCTTCTCTCGGCCTATTTACAATAAACAAGAATGCAGTAGCTCTGGGTTGGTAAGGCTTCTGCATTTTGTGAGCAGAAAACTTTTAAAAGGTTTTTGTTTTTTGCTGGTCCTTGCCCATATACATCACAGGACAGCCTCTTTTGTTCGTGCAAACTGAGGCTGAGAGATTCCTGTTCTAAATTAGCAGGTTCTGACAACCCACTCCGCACTCAAAGCTTGCTTGACAAGCCAAACGACACTCTTATAGATTAGCTTTGCGATCGGGAGCCTACCACGCACTTTCATAGGAGCTAAAGATGTTTGTGAAACAAAGAAAGCAGAACTTGAAAGTGGCAAAGGAAATTCCCAGCCGGCAGCTGCTGGATCATCTCCAGTGACTAATTGCTTAATTAACAACCCTCTGATTGAAAAAAAAAATTAATTACATGACTAGTAGATGTTCGTTGTTGGAAAATCAGCAAGTAGAGATTTTCTAAAAAGAAAACTAATGAAAACCACTGACATACTCCCTCCATCTTCATGAAGGTTAGCAGAGGAGGGGCAGGGAGGGGTCACTTTGGGAGTGGGGGTGCTTGTTTTTAACTTAACCTCAGATGCTGAACCACATCTTGATTTTATTTTCCCTTTAAAACAAAAGCTAACATTTTGGTATCTCTTCTGCCAGGCAAATGCTTCATTCTTTGAATGGATGAATGGGGAGATGATATTTTTGCCCCCAAATGTAGTCAGTTGTATCCACCAATTATAACCTGCTTTTGCTTTTGTTCTAGTTGTCACTTCATAACAATCAGGACTGTCCATTTATGTCCACGCACCCTCCCCCGCAGCGTGCCTGCTACCCGGCTCTGCCTTCCACACACCTGCCCGGATTTATTTCGCTAGCTAAGCCCCTAGCAGTAAAGAGCACGTGCAGGTGCTCTGTGTTGACATAAATAGATGTTCACGGCTGTCGTGCAGTTAGGAGAAAAGCGCGTCACTTGTAGCCTACCCAGGGCTGCCCCGGGGAGCGTGCTCACAGCCCTGTCCCTCTCCTTCTCCACAGCACACAGCCGCAGGCGACGAAGGTGGCGGCCAGTCGCTAGTGTCGCCAGGCAGCTGTCTGGAGGACTTCCGAGCCACGCCTTTCATCGAGTGCAACGGAGGCCGTGGGACCTGCCACTACTTTGCCAACAAGTACAGCTTCTGGCTCACCACCATCCCCGAGCAGAGCTTCCAGGGCTCGCCGTCCGCCGACACGCTCAAGGCGGGGCTCATCCGGACCCACATCAGCCGCTGCCAGGTGTGCATGAAGAACCTGTGACGCCGCCCCGGCCGCGCTTCGCGCAGGTGCACCCCTGGGGCCACGTTGGTGCTTATTCTTAACTTATTACCTCAGGTGCTGACCCCAAAAATTCATTTCAGTTTTTTCTGCAAAAACAAAACAGAGAGGCCACCGAAGGAATTCAGCACCAGCTCTTATACCAAATAGCCACTTGTCATCCATTCATAGGTGCTCACCACTATCTCCACCCTGCAGAGTGCAGCCCTCCTCTGGGACACCGTGACCCCCCAAAATGGAAGACTGTTGGCCCCAGCACTCCCTGTCAGGCCACACTAGACTATTATGAGCTAAGTGTATGTAATTAACTTCTTAATATGTACCTCTGTAGTCACCGCACTTTCAAACCTCGCACGCAATCTACTCATTTAACTCACTTAATGGGGTGCTATAGACAAATGAAGCCATACAGCCCGAGGGCTCCTGAACTCATTGCCACTGCTCCCACCTGAGGGTCTCCTGGAGATGGGCCGACACTGCCCTCTAAGCCAACAGCACTATGACAGCAGGATCTTCTCCCAAATACAGTTGATGCGAATTATCCTAACCCCCTCAAGGCCAAGAAGACAGTCACACACCATTGGGTTTGGCAAAAGTCACATAGAAACGAAGACCTTCTAACTGTCTGTTGTCAGCTAGGCTATTTGACAGCCAACTCCATACAGTCAGAAGTGATGTTTCCACCGCCCCCAGGCCACTCTGGAGATTGACCCTCTTTTTTTTTTTGTGGTAAATTGTACTCCCATGACTAAGTTCAATGTCCTCTATAATGACTATAAAATAAAATTTGGTTTTGAACTTTTTTATACCCCTAGTTGTTGATTGCCTTAGTTTTCTGAAGTCTGTAGAGCACAAAATTTGCTGACTGCATAGGTCCATCCCACCC